TTATGGAAGCAGACTGCCATGAAGCAGCTAGTGGATTCAAACTGCAAACCTTTCAGTTCGCAGCCAAGAGCTTAACCACTGCGCCACCATGGTTTCCTATGCATCCCTTAGGCTTATGTAATTACTTTTCAGATGATTCGCTGGGTTTGCTTTCTGAACATGACACAGCTTCATGTCTGCTCTCCATTTCATGATTTTTTTACTTCGCTCTTCCTTGCCAAAAAGGATCAAAGGAGGAAAGAAAGGAGTGCATTTTTTTTTTAACTGAATCTCTAGTGATACCTTGCCCCTATCTTTCTGTCATCCCTGGCTCTCAGGTTGTCTGAACATGTATCAGACCTGCCAAACCCACCAATCAATCAACAGGATTTGGTTAAATGAACCCCAATTGGGTGCCTAATTCATCATTCTCTTACTCCTCTTTGTGGCTTCAGTGTCGAGCATGGTGTCTGGAATAGAGTAGGGGTTCTACCTATCACTCTGCACTTCTGCCCCACCCCATAAGGGCTCATTTCCCTATGGCGGCCATCTCTACTGGCCTACTCTATTATGTCTGTTCATGGTCACCAAAATCCCTTACTCTCTCACAGGCAACCTCCTTACAAAAAATGCCCTATCTCTAAATGATACCTGACTTCCCTTCAAAAACACTGCTTTCCTCATATCCTTCTCAACTGGAAGCTTCTCCATCTCCCACACCCACATTCCACAGAGGGGTGGGGAAGGCAGCTATCTGCTAGCTCTTTATTTCTCTAGCTTTCTATTATGCCTCCCATCTACACAAACCAGCTCCAACATACTCAACACCTCCCCATCACTACTGTTTATCTTTTACCTTTCAGGGCAGGACTTCTTTACCTGGGGTCTATGGATAGGATACAGAGGATCCATGCATTCAGGGTAGGCTGCTCATTCTCCCAAAATCTGTGTACCTTGTGTTAAGTGAGGTGGGCATTCACCTAGCTCCTCAGTGCAATGACTAGGCCATTACTCTTATCTCTCTGTAAAAACCTTTCTTTACTCAGACTTATTCCATCCTTTTCTGGTGGCATTTGGATTAGCCCTTCTCCTCATTCTGGATGACTGTTATATATGCCTGTGGTCAAGCCATCAACATACAACCTCTTTATTCCTTAATTGCTTCAAGCTCAGAAACCTTCAGAAGCTCACCTACTTCAAACACCTTATCGTTAGCTAGACCAATTCCACCCAAGAAATCCTAAATCACAACTCACTATCTGACCACAACCTCACATCTTTCCAGCTCTCTATGCCTTCAATCCTTCTAAACTTCATCTTTCGCCCCACTGAGTTTTCTAGTGCCTCGAACCCTTCATTATCTCACAGGATATCAGCCGCTTCCTGGCCGTGTCTCCTTCTTTGCCCAGGCTGAACCCCATGATTGATCACCTGAACCACTCTCATATCAACACCTTCACCTATCTCCATTGCACCTCCCTTTCCACCCTATTTGTTAAGCAAAATCTCTGCCTGGGATAAATTCTCTACCCCATCCTACTACTGGTGAAGATAGCTAGAAGCAAGCATCAAATTATGGGTCTTGACACCATTACAAATTCATGGCCTCCAACCTCAAATGGGCTTTTGAAACAATGAGATAGTCCCTGTAGTTGGCCTTAATTGGCTCCCTTCTTATTGCTTTCACTGACCATTCCAAACTTTCACCATTTTCCTCAAGCTCCAGAATTTATCTATGACCTCTTCACTCTCACAAGACGATCTTACCTTGTACTTTACCAACAAAATTAAGACCACCAAGCTCACACTACCTCA